ATATATATTTTAGATTATAATTAGGGAATCATTCCAAGTGTCAATCCTCTATTTTCAAACTTGCGTATGCTGCATGGGTTTCATGTCTACCCACAACATGCTTTCAATAAATTTGAAAGTTTCATATCTTTTTAATTCGAAGGACAATTATAAACGGCACAAGAGTAACTGTTTTCCTATCAAAAGAAGCAGAGACACCATTTGGAATATATCAACCTACAGTCCTGGATGCATCTTGACCAAGTACTTTCCATTATTGTAGGACACTAATAATTTTCCTCGTTGAAAATTCAATGAGTAGAATTTTAGTGAGTAGGGGAACAATTAAACAACAGTAGCCTGATTAATTAATATATGGAATAGATCATGAATGAATTTCTAGATTTTTTTACATGAGCCCTAACCTTAATTAACACAGAAGCTTCTGTGGGAGCTTTTAATTAATAATAGAAACGTGTATTTACTTACAAATTGAAGAAACTTCTATATAGGAGCTTCATTTGGCCAATGCATGAATTTTGGAAAAGATATCCTATTGTAACTAAGAAACTAGATAGCTATAAACAATCCACTCTTAAATTGATAAAGATACATCGATCGAGAAATGCCTTTCGTTAGTTTAATTGAATAATCTGCATTACATATGTGCTTCACTCACTAAAATTGAAATGGAAATTGTTGGTTGGGTTTTAAATGGTGAAACCACAAATTTCAATTGATGGAATGATCGCTCTTTTAGATTTCGGTAATATGTTGTACGTCATTTGAACAATATATATATATATATATTGTCGTTATTTGATTTCGGCATTTGAAATATTAAAATCCTCTTATCATCTATTTTTCTTGAATGAAACACGTACATAATTAGTACTACCACATTATTGTGAATAGAGTTTATAATTCAAAAAATTAAGTAAAAGGATCATATTTATATTTATAGATTATTCATGGTGTGATGCTTAATTTCTAATATATTCTATACATAATTAATCATATCCATAGTATATTAAAACAAAACGAACACAATGAACATCATTTCTTCTCTCGTCATGTACTCCTGGCGAAAGTTTCATTACATGGCAATTCAAACGGGCTCCAACCACCCATTAACAAGTTTGGATCATGAGGTTCTGGTCCTAATAGCGATGTAGGAGCCTGCATTGTATGACTACCACTATCCATCATTTGATAAGTAGTAGACCACAATGCCTCTTGGCCTGGCAATGGCGGCAACCCGAAATCGCTTGCATATTGTACTACTTCACTTGTATCTTGATGATGACGATGCTTCTCTGGATGATGAATTAATGGGTCTAATCCACCAAAGTACATGAGGTCATTGATCCTACAATTTTCAGTGGATAAGTGATCTTGAGATAGAGTAGTGTGACATCCAAGTGACCCAACAAGACCATTTTGATGATGATGATCACCCATTAACTGAGTACTAGTGTTGCCTGAGCTTGCATTGTTCATGTTCAACGCCATGCTTGAAAAATCTAAAGCCGCCGGGCTGAATTCGCTAGGCAAATCTGGTAGTTGATGATCAGATCCAGTAGTACTATCTGAATTATCTGGCTTCTGGTTCAAGAAATTTGCATAAACAAGTGCAAGATCAATATGTGACCCATCTTGAGTCATCGAGGAACTTGTGGAATCACCCAACACGTTGGTGCCATAGGAATTATGAGCACCCTCATAAGTATTGGCACTACTCTTATTAGCGTTGTGCTGTGCGTGACCTTGTGTGGTGGTGGTGGTGGTGGTGGATAGCCTTAAAGACTTGGACCCTCTTCTATTCTTGCGGCAGCCGCCTCCGACAGGGACGTTCCTGAGGGATCCACCTTTGGTCCAGTACCTCCTACAGCCCTTGCAAAAGTACCTTGGCTGAGTTAAACTATAGTTGTTGTGGTAACAAAATTTGGTGTTGGAACAACCACACCTGGGACAATTGGGAGATATGTGATGATGATCATCGTTTAGTTTCCATCCTGCTCTCTCCATCACCAATAACCCAATTCTTCATAGGCTTCATCAAAATTTCCCACACACCCTCTTCCTTGCAGAGTTGGGGAGAGAGAGAGAGAGAGAGAAGGCTCAGTTGGGTTGCATGTAAATGAAATAGTACAGTCTATACGCTTATATGGGATATAGTAATATAATTAAGAAAGCAGTTGTGTAGAGTACACAACCCCGTGCATATTGCACACTAGTGTGTTGAGAGATTTTCTCACATTGATAATGTAAATTCTGATATTTCAACATATAATTATGGTCTTAAACGATTGCTAATTGACTTTAGATCAGAAGTACGTTCTAGTTCTATCAAAGTATCAAAATAGGCCTAATTTGTATTGTGTAATTATGTGGTTTAAGCCACGCCAAGTATGAGGGTGTGTATTAATTGTCAAATGATCTTTTTTTCAGTAACATCATTTATGAGATTTGAACAGAATCCCCTTCTAATAAAATTAAGATCAACCATCGGCAATAAACCAAATATATAGTCAATAGCAAATTCCAATTAATTTTGAGTTAAATACTCTAAGGCAATTAGTATAAGGGTAATGCTAGAGAGACTAAATTTGTAAACTAAATTTTATAAATTAAATGACATGAAAGTTGATGATTGGATTATTACTTAAGTGTTGATTAACGTGTTTATTTCTTATTACTGACACATTATTTAGTTTGTAAATTTTACAAATTTAGTTTACCTAACACTACTCTCGGTATAAAGTAAGAGGGAAGTTTGTTATATAGAAATGTTGACTGTGGTATGCGCCCAGGGTGCGTTTGGTACGCAGACGGGACGGAACGGGACAGGACGGGACGGGACGGAACGAAGGTGTAATTTTTGAAAAAGACATGGGGTATATTTGTCTTAAAATGGTAAAATATTGTGTTCCACAGACGTGGAACAAACCCGATCCAGGGGGAGGTGGGACGCAAAAACACCCAAAATCTGTCCCGTGGAACAGCCCGTTCCACCCATTTTTGGCGCACCAAACGCGGGACGGAACGCCTCGTCCCATTCCGTCCCGTCCCGTCCCACGTACCAAACGCACCCCCAGGGAACAGTAACTTCCTTTAATGAACAGTAATTGCATTTTGCATCTCCACCCCTAAACTGAATAATCATGGTAATAGTCAATAAAATATTAGTATTTTTTATTTTATAAAATAATTTTATTTCAAATTTTGGATATGATTTTTAATCGGTCTCGTTGTACCACGTTTCATTAAATAAGGAATTACAACCCAAAGTATTTGAGAAAATATAAAATTGTGGTGTAAGGTGGAAGATAATGATAAGATATTTATAGAGAAATTAATTTTTTTTTTTTTAATTTCGGATTTTTTATTAATTGTTTACATTTTTTTAATTTTTTATATTCTTTATTAATTTTATAATGTCTGACGTCAACCTTGCATCATTTGGCCTTAGGCTCTCGGGCCACCAATTCGAGCCGAGCCTCTCACTCGAGCCTCCCCCGAGCCTCATTGCCTGCATGGGCTGGAGCAGATTGCTGAGGCTATTGGGTCATTTCTGTCGCCGGTCCATCGAATTCCAGCTCCCGCCGGAGATACGAGTGAGTGTAAGTGTGTCACTGTCACATCACCGTAGGCTGAAAGCGGGTGTCGGTCTTTGCCACACGTAGCACGAGGTTATTGGGGCCATGATCATGCATACTCGTGACTCACGAGTCGTGACGGAGATGAAGGAAGCAAAACCCTCGAAACGGGTAATGGTTCCCTTGAGAACCAGACAGCCTTCTATATTATATGTTTAATTTTAACTAAGAACTCCAATTTTACTACTAATTGAGAATTCTCAATTAATCTGCAGCTTAATTAGTTAAAAATATCTATTTTTGCACTCTGAGTTTTGAGTTCGTTTCTTCTCTTTCCCATCTTCATTTGAAATTTTGAGTTTGATTTCCCCTTCTTTATCATCGCTTGTATCCTCCACAATCCATATGCATGCAACCATGCAAGTGAAACTAAAACCCCTTCTCGTTAAATGGTGACTCTTTCATCAGTTTAACATACACATCTTTATTGGTATATTTTGAAGTAGTTTTGTCTTCATTTTATTTCATTTATGATTTTCCGATTCAAATAAATTTTTTAGGTTTGTTGTCATCTCACTCAAGTTTTTTTACGGTAAGGATAATGCTTGTATTCCTCTCTTGGGGGATAAACTCATTTTCTCACTTACAAATAATGTATCCTTATCGTAGACTTTTATAATCGAAACCGTTTAATCTTTTAATCTTCATTTGAAAATCATACCTACAAAAATCATTTAAATCGTTTTCGTTTAGTAATACAAATAGATCAAAATAAATCAACCGTGGAGAGAATCTCTTGAACCTATAATTTCTTAAAGTGGGAATGTCCCTTGGGTCGGTGCTGAGTTACACATATACAATTATACTTTGGACGGATCATGGGATTCTTGGATCCATAAGCTTGTGAATTTTCTATTAGTCTTTTGGGAAGGAAACCAGTACCAAGTTTGGAAATTTACTCCGCATTTGGGTTTTTTTTTTCTTTCATAAATCTCAACCGTTCTTTTTTACCCCTTCATGCGCAGGTGAGCAAAAAGCTCATACCAAACTTATCAACAATTTTAAAGTTTGTTTGGTACTTTACTTGAATTTAACTTTTTTAACTCAAAAACACTTTATGTTTTAGGCCTTAAAAACTTGTATGGTAAAACTATTTTTAAAAAAATGAACTCAAGACTAACTTAAGAAAATAGCCTACGACCACCTCACTTTGAATCTCTTTGTCCAGTTTAAGTTTTAAGATTTAAAACAATTTTATATCTCATACTATACCAGTGTTGAAGCCTTCAAGAAAATTGTTTTCAAGAGACGTTCTTAAAAAAATGTATTGAAAAATGATGAATTTTTTTTAATAGACTACCAAACAGACCCTCCTAAAGCGAATCTCTCAAAACCAAGTAACACAGCCTTAGAAAGGCAACGGATGAAAACATTCGCTGATATATCGATATTTTCATGAAGGAATTACACTAATATTACACCTTTTCTTATAATGTTGAATGACATTATCAAGGTGGGAAAATAATAATGTACAGTTTTATAGTACATAATCGATACAAAATTTCAGGGGACCAAAATTAAATGATTGATCAAAGGTTAACTCCTAGATGCTTTGGGGTTGCAAGCCTTTGATCGTCACTCGATAGCTCCGAGTATACCCTAAAAGGAAGCATGAGAGACTCTTCCGACTCTTGGTCATTCTGTTATATCTGGCCCAACTTCTCCTGTTAATTCACATGAAACAAAACAAATCTAGAGCGTTGGAACGGCATAGTATCCGAGAAGAGAGAACAAATAAGAAATATGCCATTCTCCTCCAGAGGCAGAAACATACAAGGAGAGAACAAATAAAGCAAACCGAAAACGCATACAGGGATGAGTCTCGACTCGGTTATTAAAATTTACAAAGACATGTTCGGAGCAAACAAGGACAAGACATCGTTTTTAAGCCATAAAAAGAAATTTGCAAACAATCCAGAGGAAAGAAGCTTTTAGCCATAACTGGGATCACAAAAGCCAAAATAAAAAACAGAAGATAAAAATGAAGGGGAAAACATGAGCATATTAACTAAGGACCTACATGGGAGGAGAGAATTCAAGCATGGGCATTTTGTTCTATGTTTTAGATTACTTGGGGTTTGTTTGGAAATGCTTTTAAAATTACTAAAAGCGCTTTTAGCAAAAATGTTTTTGGCCTCCAAAAGCACTTTAAGTGCTTTTCCAAAGATTCACTAGCATTTTTCCTAAGGATTGGTACCATAAACATTTTCACCAAAAGCGTTTTCATCCATTTTGAAAGCACTTACAAACGAGCCCTTAATCAGATTATCCATGCATACTAAGACTGAATTAGAAGACAATTTTCAAAACACGTGATTACAAGAATTCCTATACGGTTCTTTCAAACCCATTCGTACACTAGTTATTTCAAAGTATCTAATGTTGTATGGCTTTTTTTTTCATAACCATTTTAGCCTCAATTGTATAAACCCTATACATTTGGTGATTCAATACAGATTCCCCATTATTCCAGATTAAGAAAACCAATATTAATAAGTGGAAACATGAACTCGCAGGCTGATAGAGGGGGCCTAAGACAATAAGAAAAAATACCTGAAGCATCTGCATTAACTTTGGATGCTGCTCCAAAAGCTGACAAAGCTTATCTCTGTCACTCAATAAAGACTGCCATAGAAGGAAAACGAATAATCAGAAGAGACCAAAGGCCACACCGGTCAAACAAATCTAAAAGCTTTAGGCAGAAAGTATTCCCCCCACCCAAACAATTTAAAAAGATCTATTTGAAGAAGCTCCAAAACTGAAGTTCTTTGCAGAAAGATGCCACAAAAGGGTCTGAAGGAAAATTCAAAACTCATGAAAAGGTCTTTTCACTCTGCAAGGATCCTAAGTAACAAATACCTGAATAGCTTCTGGAGACTTGAAGTATTCATGTAATGACATTGCTGGATCTTGTTGCGATATACCATCCCCTGATTGATGCATTGCTTGCTGTTGCGAATGGTCAACTTGCTGTTGCTGCTGTGCATGAGCAAACTCCTGCTGTTGGGGTTGATAGTAGGCATGCATAGGTGAAACATGTGGCTGTTGCAGAATCTGTAGTGAATGCATTTGAACTTGGTTCTGCATAGATACACCTTGCTCCAACTGTTGTGAAGCTTGCAGGTGGCCTAAGATGTTGGGGTGGTTGTGGAGGACGTGGAATCTGTGGTGGCTGCAACGGCTGCAACTGACCAAGGGAATGAATTGCTTGAATGGAAGACTGAGCGATAGAGAGATTCTGCAAAATAGTTGCATTGTCGCCTTGCAGCTGAGTTGGGATGCTTCCATAAAGACCCATAGAATTAGAACCAGGCCGGAAAACCATGTGTGGCGATGGCGAGTAGGTATTCACTCTGGCCCCTGAAGGTGTGGTAGAACTCTGAGGAAGTTCAGTTGTTCCCGCACTAGTCTGATTATACATTGAAGACTGGTTAATAGTTCTATTGGGTGTTAAATTATATGGACTAGATGAAAAAGGAGGTGGTGTAGGAGGAAGTGGTGGAGGTGGTCTGACAGTCCCACTAGGAGAAGAGATGGAATTTCTTGAAGATGTGGAACCATTATTGAATGCAGAAAGATAATCTGAACGAATCTGCAATGAAGCACAGCAAAGGGTTATATAAATGCAGATAAACCAGCAAGAGACAGGTGAAGAAAAATGTCTATAGAACTTACCTGAAAGGGTGTTGGAAGTGGCTGCTGTACATCAGTCATAGAGTTCATAAAAGGGGATGATTGACTTGGAACAGAATCAGAAGTCTGCGATATCACAGCTGTTGAGGGAAGTGGCATGGGAGTTGAGGGAGGTGGCATGGGAGGTAAAGGAGGTTGATTTGGAAGAAATCTCTGGTCATAAAATCCTGGAGGCACATTGTTAGCATTGCCAGCACGTTGTGGACTATTCTTCAGAAAGAAATTCTGTGGAGTCATCCTAGAACCCACTGGTATCTGTATGGAAGATGCTGAAGAGTTATTATAAGCAAAGACAGGGAATCTAAGATTATTTGCTGCCGTTGCAGAGTCAAAACTACTAGAGGCCTTGTGTAATGTAGCATTCTTCGTGTCATCGGAATGCTCAAAGTACTTTTTATCTGAAGAAATACTTGGTTCACGGGTCAATGGAATTTCAGGACGCGAAACTGACATCCTAGAAGAAAATTCACTTTGTGTGTTCTCATCCATATTAGATGCTACTGGAGTCACCAAGTCACTCTCTGTCTCTTCAACAATAGAGTGGGGAGAATTTTGCTCAACAATGACAGGAGCAGGCTGTTGCAGGTTATCATCCGGCTGAGGAAAGGGCAATTGGTCATCAGGTTCAGACTCCTCACCGTCAAATACTATGTCAATGCCCTGAAGATCATCATCGAGATCCGCTTTCAATTGTTTAGGTTTGTTGAACTTCTCCGTAGCTGTGTCATTCACAGGAGTTGTACTCTTCATTGGTACAGCCGCATCTGCAACTACTGGTGACACTATATTCTGACGTTCCCTTTGCCTGGCCATAAATTCATCGACATGAATTGACGGAGGTCTCCCACCAGTAGATCCCACCCGCTGGACTGCTATTACATTAGAATTAGAAACGCCATCATTCCTTTCTCTTGCAACATAGTCATCAACATGCATGGAAGGAGGCCGGCTGGTATTTGGTTTGCGCTGCCGAAAGGTATCCCTACGAGTAGGACCCGATGACGCAATAGTTGAACCCAGTCCTCGTGAAAACACATTTTGATTTGTGGTCTCAGCCGTGGAGTTTTCTCCTCTCGCGCGCCTATTTGGGCCATCAAGTGATTGCGGCTGTTTCCTCTTAAGATTTGATTCTGACGATTTATCGGGACAATCCCACTGAAACTTGTCTCCAAGTGATCCTTGGTAAAGATAATCGTCAGCCATTTCAGCACCACCATCTGGCATTATATGGATATTTGAAGAAACTAGAATATTTGGCGGCAGAGGAATGGAATCAGCAGAAAAGACATCATCCACCTTTAACAACGAACTAGGTTTCTGCAACAGCAGTGTTAATGATTTCGCAGATTCTAGAACCTGTGCATGGATGAAGACGATGTCAGATATTAATACTATGCAAAAACAATTGGAGATTACAAAGAATTCTATGAAAGAATAAATCAAAACCAGTTATACCTGATACAAAGGGGTTTGAGTATCAGAGTCAGCAATATGGTTAGCCTCCATTGTCTTCAATAGAGAGGTCAATTCATAAATATAGCTCAAGTTTTCATCAGGCACACCATCTGCTTCAGCTATATCATCATCAGAAACTCCGAACAGGAGTTTTACCGCAACAACCATGTCTGGATTCAATCTAACAAAGAAGTAAGCCATAAGTCTAACCAGTGACGTGGATATTAAAAAAAAACCATTCAAAAGCTTAAAGAATGCAGATACCGAACAGAAGAAATCAAAACCAATAAATATAGCACATGTGCATAGAGACACCCCAAAATACATCAGAACTCAAGGACAGAAAGGAACAGCCGGTAGCACAAACCTTGTTCAAGTAAGGTCATACAATTGAAAAGCAAAGTTACTTCAGGTGATCAAATAGAATTCTAATATAATGGTTCTAAATAAAAAGCTAAGTTTACTTAAGAAATAATATTTTAGTGAAACCTAAAGTAAATGCATATTTGGAAACCAATGCCAAAATCACTATCCTCAAAATTGACTTGCAAGCATTTCAAAATCTGTTTGAGGACAGCCCCAGTACTCCTAATTCTAGCCAATGTGCCTCATTGCACGACAAAAGGCCCATTGGAAAAATAAAATATATGGCACCATCTTGGCCTCAGTGAGCAACAAAATCCCTACAAATGAAAAAAAAAAAAAAAACACTAACTTTAAGGGAGTGTCATCTTTTATAGCTCTGAAGTTTGCCAATTATGTGAAACAAAACAAGTAGAAGGAGAAAGAATACGGTTCAACAACACAATACTGTGAAACCTTAATGGTTTTTAGGCAAACAAATTGACAGTGTTAAACAACTCAAAACATACAACAATTAACAAGCCTACACTAAAAATGTGATTTCGTAAAGTAGCCAATAAGGCAAGAGTAATCACCTTTCCCCATCAAGGCAGAAGCGGAAAGATCCCAGAGACAATGCATTGACAGTCTCAATTCCATAACTTGACAACCCTTCTTTCAAGTCAACTGATCTTAACAAGCTTTTACAGCAACATAACAATGGGGGACTCTTTCTCCATTCATGATCCTCAACAGAGAGGGCAGGATACAAAGTGGCTGCTAAAGCTTTTTTACCTTCACTACAAGCACCCAGTTCTTTAAAAGCAATAAGACAGGCAAGTAATTCTTTTCCAACTGGTAGAACCTGGAAAGCAAGGAGCATCAACGGATCAAATAAGAAGTTCCAAATCTTTTACTGGTTTCTTCCATTTGGTACAGGTTTTGGATATTACAGCTATATCTTTAGTTGTCTGATTCTGATGGACCCCTTGTCCATCATGCTTTATGCTTCTCTATCTCTCCCCAATTACTTTCTTATAAGAAAAAGATAAAACTAAGAACTCTTTCCTCGTCTAGATATTAGTTATCTTATCTGAGTGAATATTTTACTATGTGAAGTTGATTTAGTCACTTGTCATATTAATAATTCCATAACAGCTCAAAATCATCGTAAGTCCCAGAAAATTATTATCTCCAATACTCAATTTTCCCAAATATCTTCAGAATGCCGAGCATTTGCTTATTTTGTGTTCAAGCGCAATTCTTAATTACTCTTTCAGACCCAGTAGAAAACAAAAACTAGCTCCTGTAGGAACATCACATTGACCAACATACACTAATCCAACTTCAGGTACAGAGGAAGGAGGGAGTTACCTGACAAAACCTGAGGAGATACTTTAAAAAGATTTTGCAATCGTCAGTAGTCAACTTTTCAAATTCGTTCCTATTAAACCAGAAGTAGTTTAGCATACACAAGGTCAAATTGTATCATCCAATTAAAAAGAAAAGAAATAATGGTAATATAAATATGTATCTTATCTACTTACAAATCATTTTTCCCCGCATGGTGCAGAGATGCTTGAGAATTAAAAATCAATGAGAAGGACTTGAATACAGGGAGGCACCAATTGAGCAAACCGAATCCAAATGCAGCTGAACTTCTACCATCGAGATTCTGTATTCCACCTGTCTCATGCCAATTAAACACCTATTCAACACTCTAGTGAGCAACTGAAATGCACCCTCCTTTAATAATGGTCCCTACGAAACGAAAAGCAGAGTTAAAAATCCAATGATTTTTTTATAGATAAAGGGAAGGTAACAAAATAAATCAAAAATTAAAATGCAAACCTCGGCACGTGGATGCTCCAATAAGCTAGCAATGAAATCAAGATATCTGTAAACCTGGTGTGGGAGAGAGAGAGAAGAGGGGACACTTAAACATACAACAATACACAAACTATTAAACTTTTATCAGTGGCAAGAAACTTGCCTTATAAGCATCCGAATCTGATGGAGAAGGCGAGTCATAAGCATGATCACGAATCCATGAGAATATGGGTCGTAAAAGTACGGGAAAACTTTCTGCTCTTTGGCAAGCAATACGAATAATAAAGACTCGAAGCATGTCTTGAATGACCACCAGTGCCTGTTTAAAGTGATCTCATTAGTCGTGCAAGATGACAAAAGCGGCAAGTATTCATTAAGAATGGGTCCACTGCCTACTCTTTTCTCTCAGAAGTATGAAAAAGAAAACAAAAAGTAAAATAACAGGCAACTTCACTGAAAGAAATCACATACGGAAATAGCATAATGTTGGATAATCTGAGCAACTTTGTCAAGATGTGGGGTCAACTGGCTGAGCAGCTTCTCCAGATGCTCATGATGCAAATACCAATTGACCTGTCTCTCCTTCTGAGGACCCAAAACAGTCCCCACAGACAACTTTCTAAGGGCACTCAACAAGGGCATCCCATTTTTCCAGAGCCAGACCCCTTCATCAGGTAATAAATCATTCTTGCATTCCCAGAAAGGAAGAAAACACAAGAGGAAACATGTTAAAACCACGTGTCACATCGTTTGGTAGTCCATTAAGGTGGAAATTATAACATATCTGATGGTTTAGGCAAAGTATGCCAGGTTTACCAACTCAATAAACAAAAATTTATCAGAAAAGAAAACTAGATGTGGTCAATAATCGTTGATTATATCCAAATAACAATTTAGACTTAAACCCAACGAATTGAGGACGGCTAAGAAAAGAATGACTGCGAAATTTACAAAGTGAATAATCAGCATAACATGATGCTCTTTGGTGCATCAAGTGCACAATAAACAGAAACCAAGAATGGAGGAAGCGCCACTAATTACAGATACATGAGGGTTATTAAAGAGCACATTGAACACTCTAGGCATGCTAAACCACTGCTGTTTTAAATGATCCTGAGACTAGGAAAGGCTTAAGACAGCTCTATGTCAAGCTCCATTTGAAACATATCTTAAATTTTTCAGTAAATCGATTACAAAGAACATGATATTTCCACAAAACAAAAGAGAGGGAACAAGAGAAGAAATGCATACCAGAAGACAAAGCAAACTACATGTTTCCTTTGGACCCAAGGCCAGCAAGGAAGGAACTTGAACATTTGCAAGGAGGGAGTGGAAAAGACCAGGAGTCCAGCCATAGACTGGCCAACAAGCAAGTGCCGACGCAAGAAGGTGACAGATAGCTCCAAAACCAAGCGCAGAATCAGGATAAGGAGAGGATAAGTCCGCTGCACATGCGGCTAATTTTGGACTGCAATTGAATAAGTTCGGTCAAATTATATGAATAAAACTAAAATACCTAGGGAAGAGGAAAATGAGGATGACGCAGCTACCTTACTTCTCGGTGCAATCGTAGAAGGGCATTCAATAACTTGGTATTTCTGTGCTGCTCTTGTACTTCCTACAGATACCAGTCCAAAGACCACATTTTAACAGACAACTGGTGAGAGCATACAGTGGTTAAGTCCCAAACAAACTCAAAATTAAAAGGTGGCAGCAAGTTCATGCAATCCCCAAATCTTAAAACAGAAGCATGGAACATCAAACATTTTCTCTTTACAGATCAGTAGGATGTAATGAAATTTCCATTTAACAGTTTGTTAATAGTGTGAGGTAGTGAAAGCATCCTTTCTCAAAAATGAGATATATTCATGGACAAATTACTCTATCCAAACACAGCTATTCTCTGCCCAAAATAGAAGGAAAAGTTTTCCCTCTTTTCTACAAGTCATGGGGTAAAATAAAATGAAAATTCCATTTAGTTAGATTCATAGCCAATCAATCCTATGATATAACATGACCAAAACTACAGCTTCAAATGTCTACACAATACACATCTAAGAACCCTAGTCCGAGTATCCTTTCTCAAAATTTAGTTAGATTCTAGCCAATCAAAAATATGATATAACATGACCAAAACCGTAGCTGCTAACGTCAACACATCTACACTATGCCCTAGATAAAAGGTTGTTCTATCCAATGAGAGTACCAACATTTCAAAATCTCTAACATGAATCATGTGAGCATCCAGATTAGATAATAACCATTTTACAGACACAACTTTGCTACAATATGAACTGCTGCTTCTCTCAATCAAACAAAAGTTCCCATATAGAAATCAATCATAAAGAAGCTAGAAACAAAATGTAGCAAACCTGCAATTTCTGCAACAAATTGATCAACAACATAATTGTAGGAATCAGAAGATCAACTAAACTCTGCTCACGATTACGTTCTGACAATAAATCTGATGTAGTATTGCACTCCTCATCAACAAGGTAATCTGTTCAAGACAAAATAAGAGCAAATTTTTCAAAAGTCCAACAAAATGGACCTATTAAAATATCAGAATATTGTATAATAGGAAGTGTCGGATTTGAGAAGAAGGTTCTCAAAGAAATGAAAGGAATCTGTAACTGCAACAAAGTTAAAAGCAAGAGGAAGAAAAGTTGGGGAAGCCAAATTGAATACAGCACAGAACATAATAAACAGAGCAAGGACTTAGAAATATACAGATAACTCTTAACACTGAAAAGTTGAAGTGGACATGAAATCACCTCTTCCCCCCAAGTCTAAAGTGTAAAATATTTGGATTTTGATGGGACAAGTTTGGTTGCAAACTTTTTAGGGGAACACTTTTAGTGGTTATACATACAAATCAACTATTCCAATCAACATACCATAACTGTTCGAGGACCTCTCAAGCATACCCCTACAATTGACCAGAACTGCATATATTATTGGCACAACACCTTCATCGTACAGAGTAGCAGCAACAGTCTACATCAACAAGACAAACATGAGCAACATGAGCAACATAAAAAATTCACTATAATGGTAAATACAAAAGTAGAAAATCACATACTGAGTTCTCTGAAATGAACGCTAAAATGCGAAATGCTGTTGTCAACTGTGCTACGGAAGAGTCACGAAGATTAACACCATCAAAAGTCTTGTCAGATATAAACTTTCCAAGATTTTCCATAACATTAACATCAGAACCACCAAAGGTATCTCCAACAGCATTTTCTACATCAGCCAAATCTGACACCAGTGGGATGTTTGAAGTCAAGTGGGCATCTCCTCCAGAAGACAACCCAGCAGCATACTGTATAAGACCTGTTGCCCCATTTTTATGATATACTACACCAGCATCTATCCATTCCAACAGCCGTGTGGGGGCATCTTTTCTATTTGACCCAGGAGAAGAGGAATGTAACGCCCTATGGAGCTCCATAACATGTCCAATCCATGATCCAAGAGAAGATGCAGTGGAATCAGAAACAATAACTTCAAAAATCTCAGCAGCTGAGTGAAATATGGCAATATTTAACGGCGAGGCTCCTGAATATCCAGAACATCAACTGTGTAAATGAATAACTAAAAGTACATAATTGTCAAACTTTCAGATTTAGTCTTTAGATGAAGGTCAAGTGTAGAACCACTATTTTTAGCAACTGGCTCTGGTTCCTTGGCAGAATGTAAAGCTTCAATCAAAATTTTAACAGCCTACAAAATGGATATGCATTCATTTGTCAATAAACTGAAATATGTATCTATAAAGAATAATAGGATTACCAAGAACAACAAACAGAACTATTGTCCAGACACCACAGATACTACCTCGTTAGATTTTGATATTTGTAAAGGCATCATACACATCCACATTTGTGATCAGAATTGTATACCACAATAAAGTTGCATATAATACTGCTTAAGTTAGTTGGTAAACCCTCTTTGGCTTGTATCTTATACCTAAGTTCAAACACTTTGTACCAGTCAAATAAAATAAAACAGAACTTCAAAGTTATAATATGTGATGCAGATGAAAACTTTAGAATTCAATATAAGAAAATGAGTTACCAATAGTAGATCATTAATATATAAGAAATATTTCCAAAAGCCAAGATAAGTTCCACATAGATGATAGGGTTGCTAGTTTAAATTGGTTGGAAGAAGACTTGTGCATTAGTTATTACTATATGGTTTCAGATAGCATATTCATCAGTACCTCCGGAAAATATCCCAGAGCCAACAATGCTTGGCGTCCACAGTCAGACCTGCAAATCATAACAGAAAAGTGGTTAAAGACCATGTATAAACAACGCACAATCAACAAGATGAATTCCATTCCACCTTGCAAGAGCACATAGTTCCCACAACACCCATAAAAATTCTTCGGAGTTTGGTGCTGCAGTAAGCAAACGGTCTACAGCAGTAACCTGCACCAAAGCATTAGAAGGTTGCTAATCTTAGCTGAAGGTCTGTAATATTTTGAAACCAAAAGGAGACAAAGGACTAACCACCCTCAAATGGACCCCAACAATAATTCCAACATCCTGCGGAGCACAAAAGAATCCTTTGGATAATGAAACAGATGCATATCGAAGAGGAAGACACGCATCCTTATTCACATCATCAGCACCCCTTAGGGCATGTATTATTGTTGCAGAAAGTTCAGGGTGGTGCAGAAGAAAAATTAAGCCTGAGTAAGAAAACATGCAATGTCATAATTATCATTAACATGATCTGGATTTGACAGATAGGAGGCTTGAAAATAGGACAGCATTAGAGAGACCTGAGCGACAAAAAAGAAAGGAAAGAATTATGGCCTCAACTGATGACACAACATCCACAAATATGTCCATTGCACGTCCGACTTCTAAACGCAATATGGATGACGACAATATTGCAACTGATAGAGGTAGAAATCCCTTGTCCTGCTACCAATGTATTTTAAACATTGCTTAGTAAATAATTAATATGGTTGTATTGTATAAACATTGAGCAAAAAAGAAAAAAGTTAAAATATCAGTCCCAAATTGCAATATAAATTCCAATACATAAACTAAACAAGAACAAATATCAAAATTTAAACTATGATGTGGAATAAAGAGAAAGTGAGAACACACAGGAAAATGATACGAAAGTTGGAATTATGGACTTGATTGCAAAACTTCATCTGATTAAGGGAGTGAGCAGATCAGAGAAATTTCAATTTAACTTGATTCTGGATAATGAAGTTAACGGTATTATAGTTAATTTGATCATGCAGTTGAATAAGCAATTTTAGTTTGAAGTGATTAGATAGACTGTCATCAACAATTTGGATATAGAGTTGAGCTAATAAAATATTGAAACTCTACCCCTGTGTTAGTCAGGTCTATCCAAAAACTATATTTCTCCACCACATCCCTCCTACCAGATACTTAGTTTCCTTGCAAATGCTACTTCTACTCTCTATTTGGTCTGCCAATGTTCTGAAGTGTATGGTTTTCAAATCTAGCAAAGTTGGTCCCAAGCCTAGACTTTCACTCCTTTAAAATTAATGACAGAAGGTAACAGGCCGTACAACATAGAGACTATACAAATAAACCATATAATTAACCATATTTCAGTTTTTGAGGAAGTAGCTGAAAGAGCAAATAGGGAAATTTACCTTGAGAAGAGCCAGCAAATGCATGTCGATATCCCAATTTGAGAAACAACAATTTGAAGAAGCAATTAAGTTGTTGGATGCTTTATATGACGACAAACCTTCTGTCTGACCAAGAATCAAGGATTTGGTGGCTCGGGCAACCAGAGAAGGATCTTCAATTGGACCACGTGAATTTATCAATTTCTGCATAAACACATGTCAATAAGTATGAACAAAAAAACTGCAATGCAGGTTTCTGGGACATCAAAAGTGGAAAAAATATACCCAAAGGTTTTACATAGCTAAAACCAAAAGCAACAAAATGACAACTGACCAACAGCTTTTTAAGTTGTGACTTTGCACAGATAAGCATGTCCAGAGTACCACTTGTGACCCTACCAAAAGTAGATAGACCACCCAATACCGACAAAGCTGCACACTGCAAAGAATGGAATTACCATAAGAAACCACTAATATTATAGTTCGCACAAACACAAGTAAAACCACAAACAGGGTCACCAAAGTGGAAGTATACCTCAAATGTTGAAGCAACCTCATAAAATCTTAACCGATGAAGAACGTAAGTTGCACAAGAAGCAATATCATGACGCTGTTTTTGCAATAACAGATTTAACAATCTACTATAACCATCACTGGCACCAGATAGGATTTTTTCATCTTCACGTGGCCACCAACCTAAAAATCCTTCACACCCAAAAGAATGCTGAGTAGCCTTCTCAACAACTCCTAGTAGCAGTAATGTAGTAGCAGCAGAATTCTGATTGCCACAACAAAAAGCATGTACAAGCTGCTCCATTCCCCCCACCAGTAACAAAATGAAAGCAGCTTTCTCTTCCAGAGCACAAAAGAAAAGCCACACTCAACCCCAGCATGACATTTGTATTCTGAAAACAAATATACAACTTTAAAAAATCGATCACATTCAATGTGGGCACACAGGTGTAGAGAGAGAGAGAGAGAGAGAGAGAGAGCACATGCACTTTCATCTGTTGTATATTGAAAATATGAAGTACAGAAATGAAAGAAGTTGTAATTTAATCACCTGTGGAAGTTGGTGATGTACAACACTCAAGAAGTCCCTACTAAACCGAAAGTACTGACTTAACACATCCACCAACTGTTTAGAATTTGCTAATTCAACCTCAAACTCAAAAAGTCCGTTGTCTTCAAGTGATTCAGCTAAATCATTCCCTGATTCGCGTTTAAAGACCTTATAGAGCTCCATAAGCTCTGTTCTGGCCTTGCTAAGAACATTGCGCAACTCTTCACACTCACTGGATCTTCCCCAAGAAGAGGTGACATAAGAAGTGGCAGCTGATACTACAATGCCGACAATTTTATGCAATGCATCACCTAGATTGGGCAACTCACAGACCTTCAACATCAGTTGTAATAAATGCTTAGCTTCAACAGATATATCCGATGCCGCAACAGGTAGAGATAGAGTATTAAGAGTTGATATGGATTCCTCAATTTTCAGATTAGTTGAATGTAAAGCATGAGGGAGGTCTTCAAGCTTTCCCTCAGTAGAGCTAACAAGATTAGTTATGGAGCTATCATCAAATTCAATGTTGAATTGCCCTAGATCTTCTGCCGTGTTTCCATATATGACTAAACTCAGACTGCGGTAGCTGCCCCTTACAACGAGATGATTAGTTACAACAGCCTGCAGATAAGCAATGACTCCTGTGAGAATAGTAAATAAAGAAAAACAACGATGTACCCATGAATGTTGTGTGTGTGAGAGACAGGAGACAGTTCATCAATAATAACAACTAGGTTCACCTATAGCTAAGAAAAGGAGAAGGGAACAGAAACAAAATGTCACCAACTCTTTTTCCTCTAAGTGCATTCGTCGACCTATTAAATTATGATTTTTTAGTATAATGCTAGGCTAGAAATTTATTTCCTCCATAAAGAAGTAATTACACATAAGAAGTTTAAGATGACCTAAAATCATTACTTACGGAGGGAATTGGCAAATTTTAAAAAGCTAAAAAATATATATATCTATAAACAGGAACATACTCATCAGCTCAACATTGACAGTCAACCATCAAAAGATAATAAAAAAAAGCAGTAGAACTTTGCAGAATACAGGATGTAACATTATCATGTGCCAATATGATAATTACCTCTACTTCTAGCACATTTGAAGAAGAAGGAGAATATAGGAAAGGCAGACAGAGGCGCCTGAACCTTGTCTCCCCCTCACATTGAACAAAAACCTCCAAAGCAAATGAAGGAGGTGAAGTGGCCCTGTAAACAACAATAGCACTTCAGAACATATGCAATATCTATCAAGCATAATCTGGCATAACAAGAAAACCAAATTTCAGGGGTAAAAGCCCAGAATTTCATTGATTTTTGGTATAAGAATGGAAACCTTTATTTTTAAAATTCAGAAAGAGAACAATATTTTAAAGAGAACAAATAAAGGCTAAGTATGGGTGAGCGGCTTCCAAGTTCCAATGGCTTGAGGCTAAGTGAGGAAGAAATAGACTACAAAGGGGACTAGAGATGCACTACATAATCATGACAAAGGCATGTAAGAGGGATTTGTTAGTGACTCCGAGTAGTTATTTGCAAATCCCTCTCACATTCCTTAATCAAGTAACTGTAGCACCCCCATAAGGCATGCAGAAGAACAAAGAAAGGGGTATCTCTAAAAACTCTGCAGCTAAAACCCACAAAGAAGCCCAAAACATGACTCTATGATCTATCCCCAAATTCTGACACCTCCTCCATCTTTTTTTCAAAGCTTCTTGTCATTCCAAGCAAAACAGCAACAAAGCATTTTCTCACTAAGGGCTGGTTTGGTATTGCTGTGCTTTCAAAAAAAACTGCTGTGAGAATAAGCGGCTGTGCTGTGAGAATAAGCGACTGCGAAATAAATCAGCAGAGTGTTTGGTAAATTTTTTTTGTAAAAGTGCTTTTGGAAAAGAAAAAAAAACGGTCTGATAGTGGGTCTTTTCATTAAAGGAGCACTGCAGCTTCGTGTGCTTTGAAAAAAAGCCAATTTTCCAAAGCTGCAAATAGCAGCTTCAGCTTTTTCCTTTGATTTCAGCTTATTCTCACAGTAGCTTCCAAAATAAGCCCTTTTTTTTCAATTTACCAAACGCCTAAAACCCTCACAGTTTTTTTCATGGGTGCTTTTTTTTTTAAGCACCTCACTCCCAAACCACCCCTAAGTGGGGTCGGCTGTATGAATCCTAGAACTTCTTGTCAAAACTTCTTGTCATTCCAAGCCAAACAAATGAAAAAAAAATGCCAATACACAACACTTCCCCCAAAAGTTTTCCAAAGTAACAATGCTTCTCCACAATAATGACCAGTATCCTCTGCTTCAAGTTTGCACATAATAGACCTTGAAAGTGAAAGAGATATATCAGACCCCCTACAGTCAACATTGTTGCACGTGTTGACCGTCCCATGAGCAATTCTCCAAACAAGCACTTGTACCTCACTACATATCCTAGCATTCCAAATCATTCGGGTTGGGTCGGGTTGGGTTTTGAGAATATAGGTAAACACAATATATTAATCAACCAATTAAAACAAGATTTGTAAGTAAGTCTTAGGAAATTCTAATTGAAAGCCCTCCCATCAACCTGGCCTAATAAAAGTAAACATTTTCAATCAATAAACTTTGATAAATTGATAATGGGGAAGAAAGCCTTCGTTAATTTCAATCACATTTAGGCTCCTTCAGAGGTTAAAGTTCCAACCCAATAGGCAAGAGGATGAGTGACAAATTGTGAGTATAAGCCACCTATCCCCACCCTATTTATCTTCAGAAATTTAATCCTATCCTATCCCAACGCAAAGATTTTGAGTAAAAGAATTAATTCCCAGTGAAATGTTTCTTCAAAGGTTCTACAAGAGCCTCTGAACACCAAAGTGAAATGATAAACACAAAGGGAACCCCGCCTGCTAGCACCATGGCAATACCTATTTCAGATGACAACATGCTAATTACTTCTCCACAATAAATGTGCATCCCTCTTAATCAAAACTTCAACACCTAAACCTCTTTTTCCTTAGATCTTGAAACAGATTCCCCTTCACTAAAGAATTCACGTTTTATCCCTTATCCTTGGTTACCACATAAAAGTCTCATTAAATTTCTGACACTGAATTTTTTAATGGAGAGAAAAAGATTAACTAAGTTACTAAACTTTGCAATACCAACTGGACTAATGTTTTTCTTTTCTTTTCTAATAAGAAATAGAAATATTCTTTAAAAGAACATGTGGTGCGGTACAAAATTAGTGAACGAGGAGTCCACTTTAGAAGAACACTAAACATGTAACCTGCAGCAACAACTTATACCGAGGGGAGATACATCAAGATAAACAGAATTCCCAAAGACCTAGAAAACCTATATGTTTTCACATCTGACAAAATAAAAAGAATTCCCAGAGAATGATAGCTCCCAAACCTCTGCAGCTGAAGATATGGTATTTGTAAGATATAAAAAAAAAATACTTTGTCAGATGTGAAAGCATTTCGGGCCGGATCTAAGCTACGGTATTTGTAACAAGCTTAAGTGAATGCTGAATATAATGACCAGCATGTTCATGTTCAGGCTTAATCTAAAAGATCGAATCACAATATTCTGAAATACACAAACAAAGGTAAAGGCTGAAAAAACTCCGAAATCAGTAAAGCCGCTTACCCAAGAAGTGTTACTGACTGAGAAGCAAAAGACACGTTCTGTTCAAGGAACTCGCAAGCAGTGATGACAATGGGCTCAGCAAATAATACCTAAAACCCACAATTCGCTTCGAATGAGTAACATTTAAATAATGGAAAGAAAAAGCAAGCATAAATTCAAAAAAAAAAATTAGTACTTTATGCACACGTGCAGTAATGCATTGGCAATACAGAATTCATAGAAAGTAAGAGTAACTAACAAATCAAAATTCGTAAGCTAATTGCAGAACAGGGACTAAATTAACCGAATGGCAGACAATTGAAAATTCAGAAATTGCGGAAGAGAGAGAGGAACCTCGTCAACGTATTCATCGAGATGGGGGTGAACGAAGGTCTGGGCGAACAACACACAAGGCTCGGGGCGACCCATTCTCTGTGATTTTCGAGTGCCTGTCAAGAAAACATGGAATTTGAGCCGTTGAATTTGAATTTCAAGGGTTTTGGAGGTTCTTCCCCGGAGGAAAAGGTGGGGGTTTTGAGAGTAAGAAGGCAAGAGGTTTTTTTTCAGGTTTGTCGCAGTGTCGCCGACCTGAATGAGAGATAAAATACGTCTTACCCAATAAATATAAAAGAAAGAAAAGTTTGGGAGATTTTAGAAAGAAAAGTTTGGGCTGATTTGGTATCGCTGCTTTGAAAAAAAAATTGTTTCTGCTATGTTGTAAGAATAAGAATTATGAAATAAAGTGTTTGGTAAATTTTTTTGTAAAAGTGTTTTTGGAAGAAAAAAAATAGTATGATAGTGTATGGTAAACTTTTATGTAAAACAGTTGTGACTATGTGAAATGATCAAAAATTGTATAATCCATTAATTTAATTTTCTTAACAAAGTGAATTACTATATATACTTTTTTTTTAAATAAAAATATTTATAAACTTTATCTTAAATATTTATAATTAAGAAATTTAAAAAAAAATATTCACATGAGAGGATAAGATGATCATTTCATCCCCTCCATTTCATCTCTTCCGTAGTCACTCCCCCATTCATAAACAAAGACATCACGAACTGAAATCGCATCCGGGTGCGTAGCTGAATTCTTTGATTGAACTGTTCTTTCTTCTTGATTGATGGTGCTCCTTCCATCTTTTCGTTTCGGTTTTAGATTTGGTTTTTGTTTTGGATTTTGATTTTAGATTGGTGCTGCTCATCGTTTATCTTGTAGTTTAGGAACAGAGGTTGAAGTGTTGGATTTGTGATGCGTATTGGATTAGCAATTCTTAATTTAAGGACCTAGATGGATAATGCTTATCCTCTTTCAACCAACAAATTGAGAAATATGGGAGATAGAAAGGTTTCGCAATATATAAGTAACCCAACAAAACCAGAGGAGCCTCAACATGGTTTCACAATAATATATATCTCTCTCTTCATTTTAACAACAATCGACAAACAGACAATCCCCCTCCTGAAATTTCTCTGTCCTCACCCACCTTCGTACCCTTCCCCTCTCTCGCGTTTCATCCCTTGTATCGAAACTCACATCTCATTTGAGGATGAGATCACCTCGCAGCTCAGAACGTTTGCAATTGACTCACTCTCGTCCGGCATTTCGATCCTACAAAACAATTTGAATGTCGTTTTGTTATTTCTGGATCGAAGAAAAACGTTTATTTGTCTCACTGTGTTTTCGATATTGTATCTTTGAATCAAAGGATCAGTGTTTGTTTGGCGCGATGGTCAGGGTCAGATTGCCATCGTCAATCAGATTGAAGTTTGCAACCCGACGTATGACCAAGTTCATTTATTTTTTACTGTTCATCCATGTTTTACCAAAATAAGTTGTTTTGTTGAAGCTGCTATTTCCAACTTATGGTTTTCAGTTTTTTTTCACCCATAACTTTGAAAAAAAAGTTGATTTAAAGTGTTTACCAAACACTTAAAATGCTCCAACTTTTTTCATACCCACTTTTTTTAAAAGTTAAGCTAAGCCAAACATGGGCTTAATTTTGTATCGATATTGCCCAAGGCTCTTAAATAGTCAATTTTAGAAAGAAATTAATAGTCAATTTTAGCTGGGGCTGGAGAACGGGTAAAGAAACAGCGGGTCGGAGTGGGTAGACAAGGTTTGGGGCGGCTATCCTCTGTTTTGTACGATTTCTTCCAAATATCATACTTCTTCTCAAAAAATCAAAAATAAAAACACTTGCACCTCACAAAAACCTTTATTCTTGTTGTTGATTACATTAGAGGAAATTAAGCTATAAATATATCTTAAATAATGATAACCCATTATCTCTCCCCTTCTCACCATTTGACTAATCTTTATGGCTTCGAAACTCTACATTTGATACTTTAAATGTCATCATCCTTAAGAGCTATAAAGTGAGATCCATATGAAATAAGACATGTCTTTCCCTAATACAATCCAATACTAGTTAGTCTAGTTGATTGTTATTTTGTTTTAAATTTTGTATATAGATATAAGAGCATTTTCATCCCTAAACAGCTCCCTAGGCAATAGGCAATTCAATCCCCCAAGTAAATAGTAAATGTCTTTAGTGAACAATAACTGCTTAAGTGCATCTCATTCTCCACCCCTAAACTGGATAGCCTAGACAATTCGTATTAAAATATTATTATTGTTGTGACATATGTTCTTATCAATATGTGATTGTGTAAATCCTAAGTAGAGATAAAGTAGGAATCCTTTGGGATCTAGAAGATCTTTCCTAATATACTTTGTATTACTTGGAGATCAAGTTTCTCTCCTCCTTATTACTATAAATAAAGGCACAAGGACTGAGGAATTAACACACAATCCCTCAAGTCTATACTTCAATCTCTCTCTCTTCCTTTTGCTGAACTTTTCTACTAAATATAGGTCACAACACATTATCAACACACTCTTCACGTTGGGCTAAAGAGAATTTATTCGTCTTCAATCAAGAGAGTATTACGTTTCAATTATTTTTAATTGATTAAATTTTGATTTTATTGAATTCATATACTTCTATTGATTCAATTCATATTTTTCTTATGTTGAACGTGATACAAGCTTTGGAGATGGAAAGCCAAAATTGAAGCAATAATTTTCAGCATTAAACCAGTTCATCAATATCATCATGCAATCAGGTTCTTCTAAAACAACGATTTTTAACTCAATATTTTTACAGCCCTGATAGCATGAACATTCACCATAATGTATGACCTAACTTTACGTTTTTCGAATTTTAGATTCTACATAAATTGTGTATGCATTATAATCATAATCCTACAGAATTATGTGAATTGATATTGTGATATTACTATGAATTATTATATGTAATTGAATCTAATTGAATTAAAAAAAAGAGTTAAGGTTTGTTGGAAATCCACCGAGCCCCGGCACCAAAGTCGTTGAGCTCTCATATGTGCCGTGAGCTGTGAGCCAAGAGGGCATGCAGCCCTCCGTTAAACCCAGAAACGCGATGTCGCACGGCGTTGTCCCTGTCCTTCGACTCAGCCTAGTGAACCACCGTCTCGAGTACTAATTTGGTGTAGCCCAAGCTAACTCTGATGACCTGCAATCATCGTCGATGGAGTTTGTGGTCGAGATTTCTTTGAAATCTCACCTAAAGTTCGAAATTTCGATTTCAATCCCATGGAGTTCTTCGTTTGGGGACGTTGAGGCTATCCATCAGCTACCAAACAATGGTTCTCACATGAACCATCGTCTCACACACCACTCCCTGACCATAACATGGATGCCTGAAGCGGTGGTGTCGGTCCTCAAATCCTGGTGAACACCCAGCGATGCTGGGATAGTTTTTGGTCCAGAGCCTAGCCCTACTGGGCTCGCTTTCCTTCAACCCATCACAAGCCCGTCAGGGCCTTGCTTGTTATGGCCCACAGCAAAACAATTTTTGTTTTTGTTTTTTTTTTTAGGCATGTATGTAGCAGCCCACTGTCTTTCCATGCTCGGCCCACATGACACAGGCCCGTAGGGCCATGGTGTCTCAGTGCACTGGGAAACACTGGATTAACGCCTCGATATGGACTCTTGTTGATTTGGGCTTGCAACCCCCGTTTTAATTTTTGGTCCAATTTTTCTTGGGCCACCCGTTTTTCATTGCCTATTTTTTAGGCCTTATGTTTTTTCATCCAACTTTTAATTTTGGCCCGAAGTCCAAATAATTAAATTATAAACTCTATACATATTTGCATATTTTCTTGTTACATATTTTGTATATTTTGCGTTTGTTTGCAAGTATTATGAACTTGAAGTTCATACTTCTGAACCCGAAGTTTTGGAAAAGTGCCATAGAAACCTGAAGTTTTTTAACGCGCAACACTCATGTTGACACCCGAAATTCTCCATGCTTAAATATGTTTAAACCAAACCATGTCTTAGAACCTGAATGTTCTAACTCTGATGTTTATGGAATTTTATTTCCTAAAACACCGATCACATTCTTGTTTCCGCCATTCAGCGTATTGTTGAACCGTAACAAGTTCGATTTCACTGATTTGGAAGTTTTGAATAAAAAACTACTTTATGTGGATACAAGAAATGACACCCCGCTTGACTACGACTAGTTGCGAAATCATTGTAGCCAGTTCTGGTGTGGAAGAGCTGAATAAGTCTCCGCCATGATCTTTATTCAAAGATTTATGCCTAAAGCATATCAAATGGAAGTATCTCATTGCCGAGGACTCCATGACTCTTTGACTCGCTATAGATTGTTTCAAATCATGCAAAGATGAATTATTGCCCAAAGCAAAACATGATTGAAACTTTTACATCCATGAATAGGTATAATTATGAAGTTTATATCCAATCGAATTTTGACTGAAAGAAAATCTTTCTAGTCCTTCTATATCTAAATTGCTCATGAAGTAGCAGTATAGAGAGCAAAAGTTTACCAAATTCTCGGATTTGATTACTACTACACTTGTGAGAGAAATACCGCTCCAACTTCGGCTGGAGCCTACCGAACCCAAGTCTGGGTCTGTCTCTCTCTCTTTCACAATCTCATTTCGAGTTTTTTTTACAACATATGGTAGAATCAGGCCTGCCAAGAGGTGGTATCACGCCTGAAGCATGATCCTTGGCACCTAACACTTCAAGAATAAAGGATAGTAGTCCCGAACCTCAACCCTACAGAATCTACCTTCGTTTTGACGAAATAGATCATTGGTTATGCAATTGTATGTGCCTCTACCAAAGTTGTTGAGGAGTACCATTCCCCGTAGTCAATCTGTGAGACTAATTTTGCTCCACCTAACACACTTGGAATAGCGAAATTTGACATGGAATGTCGTATTGGTCGAACCCCCTTGTATGTTTGGTTTAATTTATGAATAATTTATTTTATTCTCAGATTTAAGATTGGTGCTTAGATGTCACTATTATTCTCGAATAAGAGTTAATTAACGAAACTACCACATGTGACTACAATTAACTCATGCTTAGGTATATTTTGTATGGAAGTTAGCTTCTTTGGCTCTATGCTAACTTCATACCTAATCATCCCCTGACAACCCTTCAGGCTTATCCAACCTGTTTGTGGGGCATGACATTGTCCTATATTGTCAAATGATACTAATTTTACCATAAAGGGAAGCC